CACACACACACACACACGGTATGCTCCCCCTCCCTCTCTTTGCACTGTTCTCTGTATTCTTTATGGGCCAGGCAGGCTGATGCTATATTTAGCACCAAGGAAAAAAAGTCTGTGCCCTGTTCTGGTCCCTCTCCCCCTCACCCCTGCTACCACAGCAGGAGCCGCTCACTGGCCCCCTGGATCAACCAGTTCCACCCACCAAACCCTAAACAGGAAGGCAGTCAGTCATGTAGGATGAGGGCGCAGAGAGGCGCCTGTCAGACCGTCGATCTCTTTGATTCTTTTAGATCGTTTTCTTTGCATCATATAGAGGCTTTATAACAAAAACAAGCGGCGCCTCAGAGGGGTCCTACAGTACACAGTAAACATGCTCCACTGGCAAGTCTGCACACACCACACACACACCTTTGCACACACAAATTGTACACTCCCATACATACACACATATATAAGCACAGTCCTAACAACACCCTCGCTACATGTTTTATCTTCCTCACTCGGCTACTTGCACCCGCCCGCATACAAGGAGTGCACATAGCTCCACAGATCCCATAGATTAATGTGTCTTTGTGTGTGTCCATGCTGCAGCAGCCAGCTGGTCCAGTATTTCTCACATCTGCAGCTCCGCCATGGCCCCACAAGTTTTGTCTGAAACGGAGTTTTGTCTGAGACTTGTTGAAGAGAAGGGGAGACAATGAGAGGGAGAGGCACGTAAAAACAACCCAAGAAAGGGAGGAGAAATGTGTGAAGAGAGCCATAGAAGACAGAGTAAGAGAGGGCATTTGTTGGGAGGCAATGATTAGAGGGAAGAAGGGCGAGAGAATGATAGTTCTGTAACACAAGTTGTAATCTCCTCATGAGTCGCACGACTCCCAAAACTCAGTGTTCGTTTACTCTTGTTCATTTTGCACTTAGGTGTTGTTGGCTCAGCTATCTGTTGACAATTAAATTAGACTTTACATCGTAGCCATACTTTAATTATGTCCATAATATAAAGCCTTAAAAAAATCCCCACAGACACGCACAGAAACCTTTAGATATTCTTATGAATCTGCCTTTGGCTCTCGAACAGGCTTTGTTTGATTCCCTCACTGGTTCCTCAGCTTCGACGTGTTTGAACAGGCCTGACTGCTGCCAGCCTGCCGTGGTTGGACTCCAGGTGAAGCAGTTCAGATTCAACAGGAGGATCGGTGCCCCGCAGTCTCCACATGCACGCCCGGCACCACTTCACCCAGCCAAGGAAATGATGCACTGTGACAAGACGCGCACTTTTGTAACGCCCGAAGTCAGCTTTTGAGCCCGACATGAGAGTCCTTTATGGAGGTGTATCATCTGTTCACCTTTGTTTAGATTGGCCTGCTTTTTCCTGTTATGATTTTACATGCCGTTTGTTTTATCGTTGTTGTTTTAATGGCTTATCTAACATGTGGCCAACAGACTTGATTATTGTGTATTGCCCGTGTTGTAAAAATAAAGATTAAAGTAGTTTGATAAGATAAACTTTACTCACGGTTCACTCAGTAGCCTTTCCTGGAGCTTTTAACCACATTTCACACTCCTCTATAGCAGATGCGTTCTCTCTGTTTGATAATGTGCATTTATAATGACAAAATATTTGTCAGTAAAGGGCAATGATGGGTTATTTATAGAAAGAAAATGTATGTATTTAGCTTTTTTTTTTTTTTACTTTTATTTGTAAATAGGTCAGACTTATGTAAACCTGTGCTGTTACAGTAGGCACGTAAAATGTAGCAACACCTTTTTATTTCATTGTAGCCTCGGTTATCATCCGGCCACCTGTTGCTACGTTGTAACTACACTTCAGGGGAGCGACGCACGAACCACGTCCACATGAGCAGACGTCTGACGTCACCACGCACCGCCCACTAAGCCCCCTTCTTCTCTTCGCCGATTGGACGACGGGGTTACAGAGAAGGAGGGCTCTCTGCGAAAATCCTCACAAAGTTTTCCCTTTTTTTTCCCTCCCCCTGTATAGTAAGACAGACAGAGCAAATCTTGGTGTGAGCAGGTCCGACTACGTCTGAGTGAAAGGGGGGGGGATATTCTCACAGCATATCTTCATGTTTTAAACTATGGTCGGAGATTATTGCTCCTTTTCTGGAGATAAGACGGACATGCACTCTCAGAGAAACTCCAAAAACGGACTTAGTTGCAAAATGGTGCTACAAGCAGTCGGAAAAGTACTAAGGTAAAAAAAAAAACCTCCTCCATGCTCGTTTTAAACTTGAAGCGCTGTCTGCTGCTACTCCTCGGAGTCGAACCTGTGCTGAAAATGTGACATTTTTAGATGTTTATGAAGCGTCGACGGAAGGAAAGGGAGAGAGAGACGTATAGTTCGAGTTAATAATGTTTTCCATTTGTTAATATGTCGTATCATTTCTTTCCAGACACCTCGTTAACTGTATGTTTGTGTTTGGAGTCATTTTTTTTTTCCGACGTCGTATTTCATGTATAGCAGTTTTATTACGAAGTTAAACGTCCAGTGACTTTTATATACATTGCAAACGTAAAGCTACGTTGTGTTCATGTCTCAAAACTAAATGGAGAAGTCAGTAGTCTGCTTTTTCCTCTGCCTCTATAACTCAACTTGAAAGATAAGTAGTTGTGTCCTCTCAGCAGCAGTAATTACACAAGTATTGGGACCCTCTGGTTCCGGGGCCACAGCACTTTACCAGCCGGTGCTGTTAGGGGGACGTGAATGCCTCATTCCTCTTCTGCAGCCTCTCGCTAACAAGACTCAACAAGAGCAAGAGAAATGTGACACTGTCTCCTCATCTGGTCTGATAAATAATTTAAGACGCCTGTTAACGTTTTAGCATAGACAAGTTAAGGAGGGGATTCTTTTTTAAATCACATCATTAAGAACATTAGCTTTTTAATAGAAATGGATGAAAGGGCACATTATGGTCTGGGTTGAGCATAGCAGGACTTTTAATGATAATTGAATCCTAACTCTGAACATCCCATTTACACCGTAGGCTACATTAGAACCTGAAAATGAGAGGAGATTGACTGTACACATAATTTAGAACTAGTTTGCTTGGTTGTTTTTTATTAATGGGGAGCATTGTGACCTATATTTAATGTACGTAAGGTGCTGTATAAAATCTATTTAACAGCCATATAATAGCCATAATATGAGCAAGAAGACGTAAGACTTAAAGAATGCATGACCCAAATAGGAGTGTTAAGAGTGTGTTTGTGTCTCATACAAAGTAACACAACAACCCCAGTCATGATTAATCCCTGTGAAGAATCTATACAATTCAAAAGGGAAAAACCCATGTCACCGCGGTTAATATATATATGTGTATGTATGTGTGTGTGTGTGTGTGTGTAGCTGTGTTGTGAAAGTGTATATGTGTCATGCGAAGAAGACACACCGTCATTATGAGTGTGTTCCTCCAGGGGACGGAGCATCCTGTTAATGCTTTGTTGGAGTTTCCTCTTACCTTTCAAGTCTGGCGACAGGTGTGTTTTCATGTATTACCCCAAAGGGCACATGCCTCCAAAACCTATTGTCACCTGTGAAAAGATGTGGAGCGTGATAGTGAGGAGAATATCCACCATCTTGGGCTCTTAACAGATCGTAAGCACGACGTAATGGACACAGCAGAGAGTGTTATTGTACCTCCTGTTTAATGGGAACTCAGCACCACTTAAGAACTAGCTTTGTTACGGAAATACACGCTTTTAAAATAATTGTTCCCTGGCAGGGGACCAAAAGGGCCCCCCCTTTCACAATTGCCCCCGTCTTAAGGAAAAAACTGAACCCAAAAAAGAAAGTTCACAAAGGATTCATAGTTTAAGGTTTTCTATGCAGGGAGGGGCGTCGGGTAGCAGGCCACCATAGAACCCTGTTTATGCTCCACTTTTAACGTTTCCTCCCCTCCAAATGAACGTTGAATGGCCCCTTGCTTGAATGCGATATGAAAACTAGCACACCTGGCAAAGATAGCTATAAAGGCACCCAGTCCCCCCTCAGGGGGAATATGTAGCTTAATCTTGCCCCACTTTGTGTGGTGGTGTGTGTGTGTGTGTGTGTGTGTGTGTGTGTGATGGAAAAGAATGTGTGCTCCCCCTTTCCACCTTACCACACCACCGTGTGTGTGTGGAAAAGAATGTGTGCTCCCCCCTTCCACTTACACACACCCACCCCCTCTTTGTTGTACTATTTGATTCTGTATCCCTTCAGATGGACTGATTGGGTTGATCAGAGTGTGGAGAAGTCTCATTCAACTCTTATCATATCAGCCACGTCAAGTCACTTCTTATCGTGCCAAATTAATGTCGGAGTTAACCTTCTTCCAGCGAGGTTACGCGTGCCAAGTGCTTAAACGGCGGCTCTGTCTTATCTCAACCCAAACTCCCCCTTTCCTGTCACACATGTTGGTTGTGATGTTGATGAGGCTCCATTATGGTGCAGGCAGGGGGCCCTTACATACTCTGCAGGCCTGAGAGCCGCTGAATGGGATTCAGCACGGGATGACAAGGGGAAGAGGACGTAGACTGTGCTGGGGTAGGGTCAGTAGTTGAATTAGCTCTGTGTGTGTGTGTGTGTGTGTGTGTGTGTGTGTGTGTGTGTGTGTCCGTTGGGCCTGAGCAAACCTGGCTAACCATCTCTCCATTTACCCGGTTTTACAGTGCTGCTGACACCCCCGGTGATGCTGCTGATTAAGTAGTGGCAGCTGTGCCTTCTTTGTTTCCTTCTTATCTCTCCACTCCAGACCCAAAAAACTACACAGAAACTTGAGGAGCAACTTTGACTTTTTCCTCTGTGGACTTGCAGCACTGCAGGCTCTATCCTCTGCTTTAGTCATCCTTAACGCAGTCTCTTTTTAGCCCTGAAATGGCTGCTGTGGTTTAGCTTTTCTCTCCTCTGTCTGTGGTTTTTCGGGGAAAAGAGCCATTGAGTGTATTCAATTTGGATCCCGAAATAGATCAGGAGGCCAGGCTTGGAGAAAACTGAACCTCCTGACTGAAGCTACTCTTTTTACAAAATGGCAGAATTCATTCACTTAGTTGTAGTTTTATCAGCTGAGCTTAATCCGGTTGCTATCGATGTTTTATTGCAGTTTTTTTTTTTAAATCCTGAGCAGGATGTTTGTCAATCAGTTGACAAAGAAGAAAATAACATCTTGTTACATTTAATTGATTCTTTATCTGACCTATCAGGTGTTTGTTTGAAGGTCAGGTCAGTTAGGAGTGTTTGATTTCTCCGCCGTTCCTGGGAAGAAGACCATTGTTTTCTGTTTATCTCTCTTTTCCTAATCATAAACACAGCAGTTGTTTTCCAGTAAACCAGTACTGTATTAGGCTCACCCGGTGACAGGACGAGCGTTATCTTTGCACCTTGGAGCACCTCTTCTTGTTCTAGACAGATAATGAAAACGTACTGTAGTTTAGATATCTTATTCGGTGTCTCTGCTGTTACTGTGTTTGCCTCGCACTGCCAGTTCTGTTGATTTTCCATCAGGAATCACTTTGCCCTCCCAAAATCACCAAGTTTCTCTCAGATCATCATAAGCAGCAGCCTGTCTGAAAGAGGATGGTAGACTTCTTTGTTGGGTAGTTGCACGTGCTTTTCACTCTTGCAGATCACATTAACTGCATCCATATGCCAATAGTTAGATTCCTAATTCAAGCAACAGTTGTGCAATATCGGGTTTGGCATGAGCAGCAGGCTTCAGGGGGAAGTCATTACATGGGTTTTGTTAAACGGGTTGCATTAAGTCAGAGAGAGCGTGAATCAAAACACAAAGGTTTCTAAGTTGTAGCAAGAGTATTGGTGTTGAGATGAAGTATGACTAAATAGGTCAAAGCAGGATGGGGGAGATCTTTAATACTAAACTGTAGCATTTTAGAGAAAGCACTTCAACTAATTCCCCAGCATAGCTCTGTAATGTGGCCCCGAGTGGTTCCAGGATTAATTGGAACCAGGTTCTGGTAATCAGACAGGCTTATGGTGTATCTGCCGTAGGGGCTGCTCCTCTTTACACAAAGTTTACCTTCCAACCAAGTGTATTCTGTATTGAGCAGCCACACAGTCAGCCAACATACAGCAGCCAACACATGCAGTGTGCGGCCAAAGAGATGTATGTTTGACACTTAAATCAAGGCTGAACCGTGCCTGCACACACATGCTTTCACTAACACACTCTGAGACCAGACAGGACTCGCTTCTTGTGGATTTTCTCGAGGTCTCTAGTGGGATCAGGCTCGTGATGCAGCTGTTGTGACCAGCTGGGTCGGCCCTGAACAGGGAGAGGGGGGCTACAGCCAGAGAAGTGTGTGTGTGTGT